TAAGAGAGTCTCTGTGATTACAAAGGAACATAGGAATTAGGAGCAGGAGTAGGCCATTCGGCTCCTCGAGCCTGCCCGCCATTCAATAAGATCGTGGCTGATCTTCTAAACTAACTCCATCTGCCACCTTATCCCCATATCCCTTAATCCCTCTATCCTTTAGAAATCTATCAATCTCAGTCTTGAATATGTTCAAGGACTAAGCATCTACAGCCTTCTGGGGTAGAGAATTCCATACATTTACTTCCCTCTGAATGAAGAAGTGTTTCCTCAACTTTCCTGTTCGAAAAGGCTGACCCTTAATCCTAAAACTGTGACCCCTAGTTATAGATTCTCCTACCAGGGGAAACAGTCTCACACTGTCTACTCTGTCAAGCTCCATAAGAATCTTATATGTTTCTATAAGATACCCTTAATTCTTCTATATTCTGGAGAATATAGGCCTAGTTTTGTTGTTGTTGTAGTTTACTCAACCTATCCTCATAGGTAACTCCCTCATCACAGGAACTAACCCATTGAATCTACACTGCACTCCCTCTAAGGCGAGTATGTCCTTTCTTAAGTAAGGAGTCCAAAACTGCCCACAATATTCTAGGTGCGGTCTCACCAAAGCCTTATACAACTGCAGCAAGACTTCCCTACTCTTGTATTCTAACCCTTTTGCAATAAACCCCCAAATGCCATTAGCCTTCCCAGTTGCTTGCTGTACCGGCATACTAACTTTTTGTGACTGGTGTACAAAGGACACCCAAATCCCTCTGAACAATAACACTATCCAGTCTCTCCCCCTCCAGAAAATAATCTGCTTTTCTATTTTTACTACCTAGGTGAATAATTTCACACTTCCCCACATTATATTCCATCTGCCACCTTCTTGCCCACTCACCTAACTTATCTATATCCCTTTGCAATCTTTTTGTGTTATCCTCAGAGCTTAGTCTCCCACCTAGCTTAGTATCATCCGCGAATGTAGATATTTTAAGTTCTATGTCCTCGTCTGGATCATTGATATAGATTGTAAATAGTTGAGGCCCAAGCACTGCTCCTTGTGGCACTCCACTAGTCACATCTTGCCAATCTGAGAAGGACCCGTTTATCCCTACTCTTTGTTTTCTTCCCGTTAGCCACTCTTCGATCCATGCTAATATACTGCCTTTAATTCCATGGGCCCTAATCTTGTGTAGCAGCCTTTTATGTGGCACCTTGTCAAATGCCTTCTGGAAATCTAAATACACTACATCTACTGGTTCCCCCCTATCTAACCCACTAGTTACATCCTCAAAGAACTCTAAAAGATGTGTTGAGCATGACTTCCTTTTGTAAAGCCATGTTGGCTCTGCCTAATCATGATATAGTCTTCTACGTACCCCACTACGACGTCCCTAATTAAGGATTCTAGAATTTTCCCTACCACCGATGTCAGACTGACTGGTCTATAGTTCCCCATCTTCTCTCTCCCACCCTTCTTAAATAGTGGTGTTACGTTTGCGATCTTCCACTCAATGGGAACCATTCCAGAATCCAGAGAATTTTGGAAGAACAAAAACAAGGCATCCACTATCTCAGCAGCCACCTCTTTTAAAACCCTAGGATGCAGGTCATCAGGTCCAGGGGATTTGTCATTTTTCAATCCCAACAGTTTCCCTAGTACTAATTCTTTACTGATGTTAATTTCCCAAAGTGCTCACTAACATTATCTTCTTAGTTCCCCTCTATTTTTGGTAAGTTTTCAGTGTCTTCTAACGTGAAGACAGAAGCAAAGTATTTGTTTAATGACTCTGCCATATCTTTATCCCCCGTTATAATTCCTCCTAACTCTGCCTGTAATGGACCCACATTCACTTTTGATAGTCTCTTCCTCATTATGTATTTGTAAAACTCTTGCAGTCTGTCTTTATGTTCCTTACTAGTTTGCCCTCATAAAACATTTTCTCTCTCTTAATCCATTTCTTAGTTTTTCTTTGTTAGTCTCTGAAGCCCTTCCAATCCTTGGGTTTACTGCTCTTTTTGGCAGTATTATAGGATTCTCCTTTTAATTTTATACTTTCCCTAACTGCTCTAGTTAGCCATGGTTGAACCACTTTTCCTGTGGTATTTTTATTCCTCAAGGGAATATATGATCGTTGGGAATTATGTACTATATCTTTAAAGGTTTGCCATTGCTGGTCTACTATCATATCCTTTAATCTAATTCCTCGGTCTATTTTAGCTAAATGCTCTCTCATACCTGCAAAGTTGGCTCTATTTAAATTTAAGACCCTTGCTTCGGAGTTAATTACATCACTCTCTAACTTAATGCTAAATTCCATCATGTTATGGTCATTCTGCCCTAGAGGAGCCTTAACTTCCAGATTGCTGATTAGCCCTATTTCATTACACAAAACAAGATCTAGGATCTCCTATGCCCTGGTTGGTTCCTCAGCATACTGATCCAGAAAACTATGTCTAATGCTAGTTAGAGGTAGCATTAGAGATGGTAGATTCTGCTCTGTCACGGTCTTTTACAAGAAAGCAAAGGGAGGAGGCAGTGAGCGCTCTGTGTTTCTGGGCTCTTGTTTTGGGATTAGATACAAACCACGGCTGCAGGATACAACTGATAGGTGGACAATGTGTGAGGACTGATCAAAGCTGTGCACTCCATATCTCCTCTCTTTCTCTCTCTATATCCCTTCCCGTCTCTCTCTCTTCCCCTCCCTTTCTTCCTTGATCTCTCCCCCTCCCTTCCTTGTTCTCTCTCCCCCTGCCTTTCCTGCTCTCTCTTCTCTCCACCAGCCTCCCCATCCTTGCTATTTTTCTCCCCTTCTTGCTCCCCTTCCTTGCTCTCTCTCTATCTAATGCACAATACAGAACAATGCACAAGTACAGAAGCCAAGATTTTGACCAGTCACCATGGCATCAGGCAATGCAGATACCATAACTAAACACAAATTACGTATACATTCGATAAAAACAGTTCTCTTCTGAAACCTGTTTGGTTGTACCATTCAAGTCGTTTTACACTACATGATTTCTGCACTTGAGGTGCAATACTGTGCAGAACTGTACAAGGAAATAATGGACTACCAAAGCTTTGATATATATGGGTTATACGTTGTACACAAACTTTGCCTTAATGTCTCCAGCCAGTACAGTTTTTGTGTATTTATTAAAATAATAGTATCTTACAGCACAGAAGGAGGCCATTCGGCTCATCGTGTCTGTGACGGCTCTTTGAAAGAGCTACCAACTAGTCCCACTCCTCCGCTTTTACCCCATAAAGTTTTCCTTTTTGAGTATTTATCCAATTTCCTTTTGAAAGTTATTATCAAATCTGCTTCCACCACCTTTTCAGGCAGCACTTCCAGACTGTAACAACTGTATTGTTGTTTGTCATATAAAATCCGATTGACGCATAATTTTACGTAAGTCACGAGTTTGCCATAACTCATAACTTTGCATAAGTCACAAGAAATGTTGATGTCCCAGCTGATACAGCTTATGTGAGTTTTACTGCAGTAAATGTGTAATTAGTTTTCAACCGTTAAACATCTGTCAAATTAGACTAACTGAGGAGGGGAGGGAGAGGCCAACACACCAGGACGCAGGGTCTATACCCCAGGACACAGGCCAACACGCCAGGACACAGGATCAACACGCCAGGACGCAGGGTCAACGTGCCTGTGTCCTGTTGTGTTGCCCTGATTGACTGTGTTTTGTGCATGAAACACGGCAGCCAATTGCGCAGCAGTGTTCCACGAGAAAGGGATGGACTGAGTGTAAAAAAAAATTTCGGGGTGGGGGTGGCAGGGATTATTACCTCTGGAACGCGATCTGTCAATAGTCTAACAGTGGTTCCTACGTTTTACTAGTCAAACAGAGACATGTGGAGTAAGGAAAATGGCCTAAGATGTTGCCTTGCCAGGGAATCGAACTGGGTCCTCTCGCTTGCGAGGCGAGTGAGTTAACCACTACGGGGCTCTAACTATCAAATAACACCACGGGATCCTTAACATGCACCTGAACAGGGCACAGGCGAGGAGCTCGGTTTAACGTTTCACCCGAAGGATGGGTGAGAATGAGAATGTGGCTCCCTCCTCCCCAGCACTGCGCTGGAGCATCAGCCTGGACTGCGAGCTCCAGATTTAATTGTGGGGGTGCTCGAACCAAACAGAGGGCGACAGAGAGAGAGAGAGAGAGGTTGAGACCAGGTCACCTGCATTAGAGCACAGTCTAATCCGAGAGGGAGTGAGAGGCAGCATCACCCTTGTGTATTAGGTGTGATTAGGGGGATGAGTTCTGCGTTGGGGGGGGGCTCAGGGTCTCTCTCTCTGGTCCGGGGGAATATAAACCAGCAGCTGTCAGGCTGTTATGGGAGGAATTTCACCCCCGGGGAAAACTAGTTGAGAACAAAACAGCTCCATATGCCGAGCACGGTAAGCAGTAACAGCTGACAGACAGACACACAGACAGACAGACAGACAGACAGCAGGCTTGTCACTGAGACCTGCCGGATAGCGTTACGTTTCAACGCTGGAGGATTTTATCAGCTACGACACCAGAGAGAAGCCCCCTTCTCTTTTCCAACATTCTCCTGGCGTCTTTAACGTCCACCTGAACAGGCAGAGACGGGACCTTGGTTTAATGTCTCATCCGAAGGACGGCACCTCTGACAATGCAGTGCTCTCTCCGCCCAGCGCTGCACTGGAGCATCAGCCTGGACTGTGAGCTCAGCGTTCCCAACGTGGGGCTCATATATAGAGGTGTCACTGTTAGTATCAGATTATATAGAGGTGTCACTGTATAATATCAGACTGTATAGAGGTGTCACTGTTAATATCAGACTGTATAGAGGTATCACTGTATAATATCAGACTGTATAGAGGTGTCACTGTTAACATCAGACGCTGCTCTCGTCACCTCAAATCACGTCCATTTACAGTGCAGAAAAGGAGGCCATTCGTGCCGACTCCCTGAGCAAAACTGAGCAGCCCAGCCCCCCCGCCCCACCCCGGGACACTCACTTGCCACCTCCAGCGAGGCGTTGTGGCTGACGGCCTCCCCCAGGTAGTTACGAGCCACACACACGTACACGCCCTCGTCAGGCTTGCTGCGGCGGCCGTGGACGATGCGCAGGAAGAAGAGGGAGCCGCTGGGCAGCAGCATTCGGTGAGAGCGAGCGTCATCCTTGTCCGTCTCCACGCGCTCCCCGTCCTTGTACCACTCCACCGTGGGGCTGGGCCGGCCCTCAGCCTTACAGTTCAGGGTGGCCGGCTCCCCCTTAGACACTATCAGGTCAGACGGGTGCTCGGCGATACGTGGGGCAAAGTCCTCCTGACGCAGACGGGAGCCTGAGAGAGAGAGAGAGCGAGAGAGTGTGAGAGAGAGAGAGTGTGAGAGAAAGTGTGTGTGTGAGATATATATACACAGAGAGAGAGAAAGAGAGAGGGTTAGAGACATTGTGAGAAAGAGTGTGAGAGCGCCAGAGAATGTGTGTCAGCGAGACACAGAGAGAATGTGTATGAGAGAGAGTGTAAGAGAGTGAGCAAGTGTTACAGAGAGAGAGAGAGCGAGTGTGAGAGGGAGACGGAGAGAGAGGGAGTGAGTGTGAGAGAGAGTGTGAGAGAGAGCGAGAGCGTGAGACACACAGAGAGCGTGTGTGAGAGAGAGACATATACATAAAGTGTGAGAGAGAGAGGGCGTGAGAGAGACACAGAGAGGGAAGGGAGTGTGTGTGAGAAACCTAGAGTGTTACATACAGACGCAGTGTGAGAGTGTGTGTGAGAGAGAGGGTGTTACAGACAGACAGCCAGAGAGAAAGAGAGGGTTAGAGACAGAGAGGTCTGAGGGAGACAGAGAAAAAGAGAGAGATGGTTAGAGATAGACAGAGAGACAATACACGACTCTTTCACGTGAAGGTCTAGCTTTCTCTTGATTGTATTTACACTATTTGCTTCAACCACTGCTTCAGCTGTTTTCACAGACACGTCCCAGCCTCAGCCACGCTTGCTGGTAAACTCACTCCGCTTATTACAAGACCCTAAGATTGGTTCGACGAAAAGAAGGCCCTTCAGCCCACCTGAAGCCACTTCTCCACCCTACTCCCCCCAGCTTTCCGGTGGTAATAATCCCTCAAAAAGAAAGAAATTGGCCACTCAATCCACGACTGTTTGTGGGAGGTTGCTGTGCACAATTGGCTGCAGCGTTTCGCCCACAAAATACAGTCCATTACTTTGCAGTATATCCTGTGAAGCACTTTGAGACGTCTCAATGATGTGGTAAGGTGCTATATCAAACACAAGGATTATTATTATCGAGCTACTTTTTAAATGGGTCCCAGTGTCCTGGCCACATCCACCCTTACTGTTAACACTGTTCCTCTGGGTAAAGAAACACTTCTTGGTATCTAATCTAAAATCGCGCCTTTATAATTCTAAACCTGTCTCCTCTTGTTATACTCATAGAATCATAGAATTATACAGCACAGAAGGAGTCCATTTGGCCCATTGTTTCGGTGCCGGCTCTTTGAAAAGAGCTATCCAATTCAATCCCACTCCCCTGCTCTCTTCCCATAGCCCTCCATGTTCTCCCCAAATATCTATCTACTTCTCCCTTAAAAGTTGTTATCGAATCGGCTTCCACCACCCTTTCAGGCGAGGCATTCCAGATTCGAACAACTCGTTGTGTGAAAAAATTTCTCCTCCCCTCTGTTTCTTTTAACAACTATTTTGAATCAGTGTCCTCAGGTTACCAACCCACCCGCCAGTGCAAATAGTTTCTCCTTGTTCACACTATCGATTCCCCTCATAACTTTGAAATTTCTATTAAGTCTACCCTTAACCTTCTCTGCTCCAGGGAGAATAATCCTGGCTTCTCTATCCTCTCCTGATAACTGAAGTCCCTCATTCCTGGTACCATCCTGGTCAATCTCCTTTGCACCCTCTCCAATGCCTTGACATCCTTCCTAAAGTGTGGGGCCCAGAACTGAACACAATACTCTAGCTGAGGCCTAACCAGTGTTTAATAAAGGTTCATCATAAGTTCCTGACTTTTGTATTCTATGCCCCTGTTTATTTAGTCTAGTATCCCGTATCCCTTTTTAACAGCTTTATCTACCTGTCCCGCCACCTTCAAAGATTTACTTGTATGAACCCCAGGTCTCTGTTCCTTCACCCCCTTTAAGATTGTACCATCAGCTTATATTATCTCTCCTCATTCTTCCTCCCCAAATGCATCACTTTGCATTTCTCCACAATAAACTTCATCTGCCACGTGTCTGCCCATTTTGCCACTCTGTCTATGTCCATTTACTATCTACTATCTGTTTTCCACTTTTCTCGGTGTGTCCTGAAATATTGATACGAGTTTACTTCTTTCAATCCCATTTAAAATATTATTCACCTCTATGAAGTCCCCCAAAACACAATCACAAATATACAATTATATGTTATAGCATGTTTCAAGTCAGGAAGACGTCCCAAGGTGCGGGGACATCATCTGTCAAGATTGAAGAGCCCCAGGTAGCTTGTCTACTCGTTGCTCATCATAGCTCATTCCATTAATTTATTTACTTATTATAATCCTTGCATTTGATACAGTGCCTTACTCATAATAATAATAATAATCCTTGCATTTGATATAGCGCTTTTCATGTCGGGAGGACTTCCCAAAGCGCTTCACAGAACACACTGTAAAGTGAATTGACTGTATATTTGTGGGCGAACGCAGCAGCCAATTGCGCACAGCAATGTCCCACAAAAAATCGTAGATTGACAATGACCAATTTATTATTGATTTTGGTTTTGGAGGGATTATTATTCAGCGTGTGGAGTAAGGAAACTTGCCCAAGGTTTCGCCCTCTGCCTGGAATTGAACTCAGGTTTCTCGCTTGCAAAGCGAGTGCTCTAACCACTGAGCTACAGGACTCCACAATGTCGTTGAGACATCTCAAAGCGCTTCACAGAACATACTGTAAAGTAAGTTGACTGTATTTTCTTGGCGGCAGCCAATTGCGCACAACAGTGTCCCACAAATAGTCGTGGATTGAGTGAACCCATTTGTTTTCCCCGAATCATCATTTCTCGTTTATGGTCAGAGCCCGGAGGAAAGGGTTAACATCCGCCAGACACAGACTGACTAGGTGTAAAGCCCAAACACCCAGCTCTTCCCCTAGTGAGCCGAGCAAAATATACACTGCCTGATGCCTTTCACACTCTCACAGTCAAGTGGTGTTGGCTGGACTCAGGTATTTAAGGGATTAGTGCAGGGAAAAAAAATCCCTCTGGAATGCAATCCACATCTGTAAGTCTCCCAACCCGGGAACCTGAAAACAGCCGGTCACTCAGTCTAGCCAGCCTGTTATAGTAACACTGTAAAGTCCGCTAACATTGTGGAGTCCCGTAGCGTAGTGGTTAGCGCGCTCGCCTCGCAAGCGAGAGGATCTGGGTTTCATTCCTGGGTGGGGTGAAACCTTAGGCAAGTTTCCTTACTCCACACTGCTCTGTTTACCCGGCAGTAAGTAGGAACCCGGTTGTTAGTTGATTGGCGGATCGTTTTATGGGAGTAATAATCCCTCCAAAAAAAAAAAAAAATTCGGTCACCCCAAATCCAAGGCTGTTTGTGGGACACTGCTGTGCATAATTGGCTGTCGCATGTTGCCCAATGCAATACACAGTCACTCCACTTTACTATATATTCTGTGATGTGTTTGAGACAGCTCAATGACAGCTCAGATAACGTGCTGAATCAAATGCAAGGATTATTATTATTATAACACAGACAGGAGGTCACACAACCCAGCCAGTCTGTTACGGTAACACAGACAGGAGGATTCAAGTGACGAAAGTCACACATGCCATCTGATCTCATCCTTCTAGTTTCCCCAAACATCAACAGCACAGAGCAGTTCAAGCGCTCTTCCAAATAGCCTGTTACAGTTATCAATGCTCACTCTAGACACTGAACACTGGGAAAGCAGTTTTGAGAGGTTTTGATGTTGTAAAGCACTAAAAATCAAATACATTTTGTCCTTTTTATCTGCCTTATCGTTCTGGTGGGAGGAGAGGTAAGGGTCGGGGGTGGGGGGGCTCCAAAGTGACGATCTCTAGTACGGTTCCTGAGCCAGGTGGGTCTGAAGTTATTCCAGGGCACTGCTGACGACAGCACAGCCCATCCTGGCTCATCGGCAGGACCTGAAAGGGCAGACCAGTCACTGGGGGCAACGGAATTATTCCCACGCAGCTCCTGTTAACCTGCAAGCCAAAGCCCTAACGGATAGGGCGGTCCTATCTGGACAAGCAGAGGGAAAGCTTGCCAGACAGCGCTCTCAATGGCAAGCTATGTGGTTTTAACTGGTTAGACTCCAGCACCTAATACTTGCCAACCCTGCACCTAATACTTTCCGGAATTACGTAAGCGGGATGCGACCCTCCAGGGAGAGAGCGCGCATTTCGTTCCAACAATCTATCTCTAGGATTTCCATGTGTAGGTGAGATGCATGGAATTCTCAGCTTGGTTTGGGTAGTATTAACCATGGTGATGGGTTTCCGTGCGTGTCAGACACCCGGCTGGCCAAAAAAAAAAAATTCAGACGTTGGGTACTGAGCTCATATCATTCTGTCTCGTCGCAACTCAGCCTCACCTCAGCGACACCCAGCAGAAATAACTAATGGCTTCCAGTGAGTGGCGAAGCTGACAGCGGTCGACAGCCCACACAACAAAGGCTCCATTGATGGCCGTGCCGGTTTAAAGCCCGCCACTTGATCCCTGGTAATTATGGCATTAGCCTGCAAGTGGCGAGCAGTCAGCATCATTATAACCGCTCGGTTGCACAAGACAAGGGTTCATTCCCCGTACAGAGAGGCACCGGGACAGGAGGACACACTGGGTCGTAAAAGAACACGACGCAAAAAATGCAGACTGCAAAAATGGGCCCATGGTAGTTCATATAGAGCGAGAGAGAGAGAGAAGAGAAAGAGAGAGAGAGAGAGAGAGAGAGAGATGGGGGGGGGGGGGGAACTGAGGGAAAGGTGAAAGGTGCAGAGCGAGCAGTCCTAAAATAATAATAATCCTTGCATATGATATAGCGCCTTATCACACTTTTGAGACGTCTCAAAGCGCTTCACAGGGATATACTGTAAAGTGAACTGACTGCGTATTTTGCGGGAGAAATGCGGCAGCCAATTGTGCACGGCAGCGTCCCCGCAAACAGTCATGGATTGAGTGACCGCATTTATTTGGGGAGGTAGTATTACCCCCGAAAAGCGATCCGACAATCGACTAACAACCGGGTTCCTACTTACTGACAGGCAAAACGGAGGCGTGTGGAGTGAGGAA